ACAGGATTATTCATGATGAAATCGTGTAACTTAGTATCATTTTTATTAGTACGTCGGCATTTCCATTCTTCACTTTTTGCGTTTAAATCACCTCCGAGAATAATGGGCGTGTTTAAAGGCAAGAAACTCTTTAAGATGTTTTTATCCAATAGAGCCAAAGGCGGGTTATAGAAGGCACAGAAACCCAGTATGCCGTAATAAGGGAGCAGTACGGATACCTTGATCATCTCCTGACTGTTATTTCCGAAGTCTGCAATGTGACATGACTGAAAGGACATAAATTCTGACTCCCCCCACCACGATGACTCAACCTATCACACCTGTAGTACATATAATTCGGAATCTTAATGTTATTACATGGTGAAACATATGCCACAGGCATTCTAAACAGTAAGTTTTATCGGAGCTCTGTTATGGTTGTATCTACCCATTATTATTTTGGTTAGTAGAATTGAAGTTCTTATTTAGTTGGGTAATTTCCTTCGTTTGTAGTGTAATTTGAAGACCAGTGGTTTTTATGGCTGCTAAGAGTTCTGAGAGATCAATAAATACGGAAAACATTATTAGACGTGGAACTACTTTTATATGCGCCCTCAGGTTGCCAAATGCGACGATAAATTTCTCGCCAAACATTTTTGGCGAGAAACTCCACGGTGTCATATTAGTATCTAAATTTTTTGTCTACATTTCGAACCAAAAACGCGGTTTTCGCACATGAAAAAAACCACGTTTTGAACACACAACTTAAGCTAAAAAAACCGAAACAAAAACAAAAAATTTAGATAGCAAAAACGTAAAGTTTCTAACCAAAAATATTTGACAAGAATCCATGTACACAGCGATATGTTTTAACTTTAAAAAAAATCTACGAATTGCACAATCTAGGCATTGCTCACAAATCAACAAAATAAACTAAAATAAATTACAAATGATTCAAAAAACAACAATAACAACAGAAATTCATAGTAAAAGATCAATGAACATAACATTCTACAAAATAAAAACAATAAAATAAAATGCACTTACCATAGTCAATGCTTCCTCGGACAGCAGAACGTAGCTTTAACATGCCGCCACGTACTCTCTATGGTATTTATATGCAAACCAGACTCGCTATCCACAAAATTAATACTATGGTTCACAAATAAATGTTCAAAACCTTCTTTTCCTAAATCCTTGTAAGATTTCCAGCCATCCGAAAAAATAGTTGTACAAGGCTCAGTCCACTCTTTAATACACTGCATCAGTGTTTCCTTACTTCTATCATGCACAGCCACTAAAAATAATCTCCCAGACCCTCTTGCAACCACGTCTCTCATTGCAACATAAGCCATTTCAAAACACGCACGACACGAACCAACGAGCAACTAAACCACTCCAGCAAAAGAGTTTTCAACGTCAAAAGGGTTGCCATACAATAAGCAATCGCGCCAAAAAAACAGCGCAGAACACATATCGCCACATTTGGTGATCTTAGGGAGCATATAAGAGTAGAGCCTTACACGTCATCATTTTGGACGATTTTTTTTAAAAAAATTTTAACCTTATGCAAAATAAAAATGATGATGAAGTGCAAATTTTACGATCTAAATGTGACGAAACAAAGATGATTTTAGATAGGTATGTCTAGAATGAAATTTCAGCCGTGATAAAAAAATTATTTTCAGATGCCATGTAATAATGTATGAGGGAAGGATGCACACTAACGTATGTAATGTACCGTTGATAAGTTAAAAATATATGTATATATTATAAATTCAAATCACAATCGAATTAATATACCAATTAAAAATTGAAGTGCAGTCTGTAAGTGAAAGTCTGAATTGCAGCTGTGAGCTGTGAACAAAAATTCTAAGTGTGTTAGGAGGGGCTGGAGAGAGAAATACAGAAATGAGAAATAAAACATCCCTAATACAATTTTTCTAAGGTAAACGCTAGATGGGGAATCTCCTGTTCATGCGGCTGCTATGGACTGCGGCTGTTAACTTACCCTCGTATTTTCAGTTTGCAATCTACGCTACTTAAATAAATATATGCATTTAAACTTTTATGTTCTCTACTGTTTTTCGGGGAAAATGCTATAAATTCGGGGTCAGAGAGGGAGAGGGTTTTATTGTTTGAAATTTATTGTAAAAAACTGGGACTGGGGCTAAAATTTCGAGACTGTCCCAGGAAATCTGGGACCTATGGTCGTTTTACATTACTATTTCCTAATGTTATTTGACAATATCTTTCGCATTGTACTGTTTGGCAACGCAGCATCCCGGCACAGCAGTAGAACATTCTACTTGACAGCATCTAATTTCATTGTGGTTTACGATGTATTCCTGTGACGTGTCGACGATATTAGATAGTTACCGCATTCTACTTTAAGCTGTAATAAATAAATGTATTTACAGAGAAATCCTGATAGATTACGGGCCTAGTTTACGCCATGTAACGACTTATAGCTTTAGGTAAATCTATTCTTCTATATTTTTCGAATTCAGAAAACAGAAGTAACGCTGTCGACATGTGCTGTGTAGATGTTCCATCTGTAAACAAATTCAACGAACAAAATTACTCACAATGGAAATTTCAAATTGCTTAACACGACGGCAATAAAATGAGAAAAAGGGCGATGCACAAGAAATGTGACATCGCCTGTGATGGAATTTTCGCAAGTCAGGTTTATTGAGCGTTGATCTCCGCAAACAAAATACTAAAATATTGCATTCTGTAACTGAAATCTGACTTTAAGAAAAGCTTTATAGCTTGACAAAATTCATCAGTTAAAAAGGGAAAGCAAAGGAATAATCATGAGGAACATTGTTAAAATTGAAAATCTTGTTCATCAAATCAAGGACTTAGGCAAAAATATCAGTAATGCAACTATAACTGCAAAATTTTCGGGAACGTTACCTCCAATGTATATAAAAATTTTAGATAAATATGGTTATCCGTCAATGATCGTAACTACACTTATCAAATCTGACCGCAAGACTCGTCAATTTATATAATCGCCCTACTTCTGGATGATTCATTTGTATACTAATAATCAACTATAACCATACCTCTCGACAGAAAGAACTGTGGAACATCTCATATCCTTGCGGTTTATTATTTCGTCAATATCAGAGCCCTTTCTTACGTTTCCGCTTGTGTAAAATTATATTTTGCCGCCAGATTTAAGATTACGAATGAGAAAAGAAGGATTTTCATTTCCCCCTCATTTAAAATTATTTCTGAAGCTTCTGAACCTACACGATGTCATTTTATAATAGGATTTATCCGGTCTCCTTTGTGGAACTGTCAATTGCACTCATAGGTAAACGAAACAGTAATAGTATTAAATAATTTACTTACATGATTACAATCAAATCTCCAGTTAGCGAACACTGATGGAATGGCTTTTATCCATTAGCAAGAGCGCCCGTTAAATGAAAGTGCCCCAATATGCCTCTTTGAAAGTCCGAAAATTCTGAATTATTCGTTATTTCGAAATATTTACTAAAGAGGAATGGCCGTTTACAGAAGTTCTACTGTGTTTCTTACTGCAGTACATTAGTACACCTAATTAGAATAGATTCTTAAAAACTGAGTGTAATATTAGAGGAAATATTAACTCTAGTAGCTCTACTCTATATCTCTATATCTCTAGTAGCTCTACTTGCATCTAATTCACCGTCATTCGATTGTAACGTCATGCGCAGAACTTGGATCTTGTGCTGCTCACACCAGGCCGATGCTATTCGCAACAGCGGTGAGATTAGCTGCTTGAGTTATTCGCGCCAACATTAACCAAGCATGCGCATTGAGTTATCGGATTTGTCATTTGAACCCAATCGAAAAGAACGGATTCTACGTACACGAACTAAGTGAACTGCAGTAAATCTTTTTTTTTTTTTTTTTTGAAGGCGGGTTATCATTTTTTAAGCGTTGGCGACTTTTAAAAGTTAGAAAGGAAAATGGGTTCCTTTTCTTGTATATATATGAAAAAGGAACACATTTCCTTTTATTAACGTATATATAGAAAAGGGCAGATTTTTAAATTTGGATTGTTTATATCGTTTTCCTGAACGGTTGGAATAGTTTAAATGACTGATTTGGGGTGGGTGGGGGACAAAATCTTGTTTACATTTTTTGTACTTCTTAGAATACATTTAGCTTCAAAGATGTGATTTGCACAATCAAAACTTCATTCCTCTTTAACAATTTTCGTCTGAGAAAAGATAATAAAAATTAGACAGAGGATTTCCGTGTAGAAAATTTAGACATGAAATAAGTTAAAAGCGATTAAATCAACTATTAAATGAATAATTAATCATATAATACTGGTTATTAAACAATTTTGTCTGCCTGTTTATATTTTTTATGGAAATACTTAACATTTTCAGGACACAATAAGTATTTCGAAGAACTTTGAAATATTATTACAAACACATTAATAAATTAAATTGAAATAAATAATGGGATGTAATTTAAAAGACAGAAATAATTTAATGTAAGAGATTTAGATTTAAAAATTTGCACACACAAATGATTTATCAGAGTTTATAAGGTTTTATTTCATAAATAACTTTGATTTTGAAATATGGCATTTGAACCTATAAAACTGTGCGGATACTGTTTATAGGTTCTGAAAAAGTGATGAATATTATAATTTTCAGTAAGTTTTCTTATTGAATGATAAATTCTGACAGTCCTATGCTACAGACATCATTAAATCCCTATTTTGTCCAATCATTTCCTGAACATTATTATGTATACAGATTGATCTCGTCTTTGTAACTGATAATTATTACTTGCTAATTATTCTCTTATTAACAACCCATTCTATTGCGGAGTTAGGGTTAACAACCTTCGCTCCCACTACCGCCTGCCTTACGGAAATCGGCGTAGCTGATTGTACGCATGCGTGAATGTAGCCGGTGTGAATAGCCTCTTATCTATTCGCACCGTCAATGCGCTTAGCCACTGCGTGCTCTCTCCTTAAAGTTCACACATCATTTTCGTCATGCAATTGGCCAACCTGGCAACGGTGTTTAAGGGCATCCGTGTTGCCTTTTCGGTGGAATTGCGGGTTATGTGATTTGTGTGTGAATTTCTCTTCGCTTTGCAATTGCTTTAAATTCAAAAAGTCCAAGAATGTTAGCCCATGCTGCAAGATATAGCTGTCGTGGTAACATTAAATTTTCTTAAAAAAAATATTCGTAATTAAAGTCGTACCTTTTTATAAAATATGAAAATGTAATATACTCGACGACTTAATTTAAAATATTTAAATTTGAAAAATTTATATGCGTCTTAATCTTTTACAAATTTGTCAGAAAGATCTATTGTCATAAGTATGACCGTTATTTGTTTAAATCTTTTTTTTTTAAAAAAACTTGTCATTATTAGATAGGTTAATTAATACCTATTGAAATGTTTATACCACTGACACCGATTGAAATTTTTAAAGACTGTGTTAGTAAAGCTTTATTTCGTTTGTGTTTTTTCTGTAATGCTGTAATTTACTCTGCTATTATAATTATTTTTTTTTTTTTAGCCGCTTTGCCGCGCAGAAATCTAATCAGTTTTTCACGTAATATTGTGCCATATAGTGTATCCTCTAATTTGTTAGCAAAAGTGCAGATTAATACTGCTGCATCTGCACATTCTGGTGAGTTCGAAGGTTTCTTTCATAATTTAAAATTTGCTTAGTAATTCAAACAATTGTTTTTAATGAATTGTATAAAATTTCAGATTCTCAAGGCAAATTAAAGATTAGATGTCAACTGTTATTTTTTATAATCTATGTACATTTTTTATTTGTTTATAAGTAATTAAATTAGTTGAAATTTTTTACAAACAGTAAATTAGAAGTTTTCTCTGAAAGCAATAATTAATGTGCATTCATATTTAAGTAATCTTTCTTTTTGAAACACAAGTTTATAATTTTTTACTAAAAATCTTGTATCGTGGACAGCTATAAGTTTCATTTTCTATTTGACTAATTAAAATTGAGCTATTTGTGCAGTACCTGAGCCAGAATATATAATATTTGTTCATGATATTTATTTTATATGAATATTTCAATGCTGCTTTATGAAAATACTGAACATTTATATTTTATACTGAGCAATGATTATTCTATCAAAATTTCTGTTTAGAACTGTAATCATTGAAACTTTAAAAATGCTTTTGATTTTTGATAGAGTTAAAAGCTGTTGATAATAACCTAAAGTTCATATTCCACTCTAGTCAATATCAGAATATCTGGAATTTCTTGTCCGCTATCAAACATAATAACAATAAATTTCAAAGAATACCACGTACACAGCATTCTGTTTAAACTTAAAAAAACATCTACGAATTGCACAATCTAGGCATTGCGCACAAATAAACTGAACTAAATTACAAACAATTCAAATAACAACGGAAATTCATAGTAAAAAAACAATGAACATAACATTCTACAAAATAAAATGACTTACCATAATACACTCCTGAATAAAATTTCATCAGTCACTCAACGTCTCTGAACAAAAAAGCCACGATTTTGCTATATGACATGTTTTTCTGAGAATCAAAATTTCAAAAATAATGACAAAAACTTCCTCCAAAGTTAGCTTACAACATGAAAACCACAATCCAAATCTTAAACTCTGCTCACAGAAACATACTTACCAGCAACTTAACTGCAAATCCACACAAGAACTATCAGAAATGCCCTTCTTCGTTCGAGTTCTTATAGCAGCTCCGCATTTCGGACTCTGTTTTAAAAGTTCCACAGAAATTCCAAAAATGCACTTCAATCCTCATAAACACACCCGTGAACAAAAGACCCGTTAAAAACACCAACATTGTACCTTTCAATACTAAATTTACTTTCCACACAATCTAAAATACACGACTGAAATCTTGCCACCACGTCTATCATTGCAACATAGGCCATTTCAAAACACGCACGACACAAACCAACGAGCAATTAAACCATTCCAACAAAAGATTTTTCAACGTGAACAGGGTTGCCACACCAGGGCAATCGTGCCAAAAACCACCGCAGAATGCATATCGCCACATTTGGTGATATTAGGGTGCGTATAAGAGTAGAGTGGTAAAAGTATATTTTAGGGTACCCCTTGGCCATTTTTGGTGGTACATGGATATTGATTTTGCGCAATTCTTTGACTTAATTATTTTGCATAATGGCAATTTTTGAGCCAAAAATCGCTGCTACACAAAGCCAAAATAACAAGACAAAGAATTGCACGAACTCGGTATCCATGTACACATCGACCTATTTTCACTTTTAAAAAAATTCCCGAATTGTGCAAAAATGACATTGCGCAATCCCTTGACTTTATCCATGTACACGTCGATTTACTTTCACTTAAAAATATCCAAGAATTGCACAAACTTACATTGTGCACTCCCTTCACTTTGTCCGTGTACATGTCATTTTCACTTAAAAGGTCAAAGGAGCACCCAGTTCTACAGTACAGGCAAACAAAGAATACATAATCTTAATAAACTACATTTTAAACCAAACAAAAAATAAAAATAAAATAGCATAAAAAAAAGGAAAAACATGTTATACATTTAAAAGCACTACAAAAAGCAAATATCCACTTACCCTGTTTAGAAGTTCCTTCGTCTTTAGTCTGTGGCACACAAAATTCTTTAACAGCATCTAAAAAATTCCTAAAATTATCTGGACTCAAATCCGTATATCGGTGTCGGCACATCAGAACCTTTCTTCGTACAAACCTATTCAAATCCATCTAAACGGTTTTTACGTTCGACTAGATGCATATCCTTCCTACATACAGGACACTTATAATGGCTAATTAAATCTTCATTTACACACCAGTCAATTAACACTCTCTTTTTCCCTTTCGTTCCAAATCGTAGAGAAACTTCAAATTAATCTTACTACATTCGGCCATTCTACCGCCTAAACAATAAAACCAACACACAACCCAACAGCATTTACAAAACATCCCATGATTCAATTTTTCCCAGAATCATGCACCCGATTACATCACAGTAGGGTTTCCATAACATTCAACTACTCAGGCTACCATAAATGAAACAACTTCGCCATAATACAAGGGAATCGAAATATGGAAAAAAATTCCCATGTCATTTCAGAAAAATTTTGATTTTGTGTTAAAATATCTATATTAGAACAATGCTATATATATATCCTAAGTTGCGCTTTCAAGACATAAAAAATGCAATTTGAATTTCGTCAATTGGCCCAGTAGAACGGGAAATATAAAACTGTCCCCCCCTTTTTTTTCCCCGCAGTGTACATACAAGCATCATGAAAAAATTCCTTTTAAATCCATTTTACAATCTGTTTTGGTAGAGAGTCCTTTATACTCTGTGCATGCACAGATGACAATAAAAAGAAATCGTTCAAATGAATTTGTCAAAGTGGATATGTCTGTTCAAATATGATACCCGAAATTTTTCGTGATTACAGTACTGCTATATATATGTGCACATAGTGGCACAGATTTTTTTTTAGCTCAGTTTAATCTAAATCTTTTTAGTGTTCTTTTGGAAGTTAAAGAGTGTTCTCTGACTCGGTAATTACAGTCCAAAATCCAGATGTTCTCCAACGTCCGGAAACATCTAAAATCCAGATCCCTGCACCACCAGTAATTTTTTTTTTTTTTTAATGCTTTATGCATGCATATCTGATATTTTTCCATAATAAAATGTGGAAAGTTCTGATTTTTTAATTTTGCTTCATCACTAAAAATACCTCCACACTGAAAAAACAATCATTTGTTAACATAAATCTGTATGAACAGTAATTTTGCTCCACCTTTTTTACTTGGCATACGTCTCGAACCAAAACAACATCATTGATTTTACACCTACTCAACCTAATGAATCATCATTTATTATTTTTTACTTTCATTACTGCATGACTGTCAATACAACAGTTTGAAAAATAACTCTCATGATAATAACCAACTTGTCCATGTGCTTGACTCTGCATATCAATAAGATCAACTTGGCATCATCATCTGTTTAACTCATTGTGTAGAACTAATTTAGAAACTAATCTCTTCTTAGATTTTTTTACTATTGTAGACTTAGCACATTGGCAAGAACAAATTGATCATTTTGGTAGTAATATTGGCATATTTTTTGCCTCTTTCCATTTGATGCAGATTGTGTCCTCCATGTCCAGTTACTATGTGAGCTTTGATTACATCAAAAATTTCTTCAACTGGCAGGTAACATAATATTTCATGACCCTTGGACTTTGCAATTATTTGCCAAATGCCTTTTTTATAATGTTGAAACAGTTTGTGAGTCAGTACTGCAATGAAGTTTTCTTCATTGCCAATTAAGCATTTTCAATTTCCTGAAGTAATTCTTCATATACCTCTTAGTTCATAACAGAGTATTTAGATAATATGGTATCTTTGGTATTTAGTAAGTCATTAGTAAACTTCTTTTTTCACAGTCAACAAAATATTCGTTTTTTGGCCCCCCACGCCCCAAAAAAAACTTAAAAAAAAAAAAAAAAAAAAAGCATTGCACAGGGATGGAGAGAAGGTTTAGATTATAATAACTTTCAATTAAGCAATATAAATGCTTTTCCCCGACAGGGTTAGCTGATCACTTAGAATAATTTCTTCTGTCATGTAATCACCGTAAGAGGAGAAGTAACCAATTAGTGCATAGATCATTCATTGCCCAAGTCAGGCTGAGTAGTTACTATTATACATGGGTTCTAACTGAAAACTGCAGTAAGTAGCCAAATTAAAATTTTAATTCATGTTTTTCCTAACCGTGATATTAATGACCAGTTGTTATAAGCAAGAATGCGGAGTTACAGATGCTCATAGATACTTCTAATATTCACTAGTAATTACATATCAAAGTGGATTTTTGCTATTTATGGTAGCATATATAGATAACAGTTGTGAAAATAAAAGCTGCATAAGGACTTTTGTGGATAGCATTAAGTTTCAAATTTTTGATATTTTTTAATATTGTTAGTGAAATAGAATATAGAAAATACAAGAAAATGTATTTTTTATATTTTAAAATTATTTCATAGCATTATAATTCATTTTTAGATCACAATCATTCTAAAATTTGGACTGCAGAAAGATTCCTTTCTGCTGGATTAGTTGGTCTTCTTCCTTTGTCGTTAGCATATCCTGCCCCTGCTCTTGATTATGCTCTCGCTGTAGCCTTGACTGCTCATGTTCATTGGTAAGTAATTTGTTTTTAATCTGAAATTGGTATTATTAAAAAATTTGAACTATCTGTTGTTTAGTTTGATCTTTGGTGACAAAAGTCGTGTGTGTTGTTACAGAAGTTTAAAAGGAAAATTAAAATTATTTCTTTAATATTTCAGAATGGGTATATAGATGTTATTCTCACCATATTTGTTCAGATACTTCAACTCGCACATTGTGTTTATTCAAAAATAAGAACTCTATTATTTTGCTCTAAAATTTGGTAGAGTTTTGTAAACAAATTTCTTTCAGAAATGAAATTGCAGAATGCAAGAAAAAAATTATCTTTCTGTGTAGAAATATTCCACTGTTTCTGAATTAGCCATGTAGATCATCTTTTCTCAAACCCTGGTCCTTGAAACTGCCCTTATGATCTTCCTAGGTTTCTTTCCAAAAAACTTATAATTGCAGCAAGCAGACACAGATTATTAAAAGTAGCAGTTGTACAGATTCTGCTGATGCTCAAAATGGAAATCATGATAAAGAAAAATGGATTGAAGAACATTAATAAATTCAAAATTTCAATTATAGGACTTTTGTTCATTACTGGTAGTGCTATTAATTCAATTGCAATATTGAATGGCATGTAATGGCAGGTTTGAATGGGGAAAAATGTACATAAAACTTTAAAAGCCATGATATATAATCCACAAAATACTTTAATCTGCTCAATCCTTTGTCTCAAGGTGTGTGGATTATTGAAATTTATATAGAAAGGATTGTGTATAAATCTTCCTCCTGCATATTCAGTGTGCAGGAGATGTTGAGATGGGAGCATTAAATGCTTGTATTCTTAGTGGGATAGAACATTGTCCCACATGATCACCTCATTATGTTTTTCTATATTGTCAACTTCTTATAATAAGGTACTATAAACACATGAGGAAAGCATCCTCTGCAATTTTCTACTCTCTCTCACTTTTATTTTTATTTATTTATTTAAATTTGCTGTTTGCCTTTAAAAATCTCCAGATATAAATTATGTATTTAACAAGAAATCGTATGCATAATCCAAGGGATGGAGAGAAGGTCTGTGTAGAGGGAAAAGTATTGAAGGCACTAACAGTATTATTGATGTATCTGTTTATATATGTTTTTAATCATCAATATTTTTCCTTTATCCTGCTCAGAAATGGTTATGCACTCTGTAATTTTCCCTTCTCAGTTTTAAAGGGGCAAATCTAGTTGAAAAATAAGGAAAAGTGAGTGAGTAAATAAAGTATATCAAATCTACTTATAAAAAATGTTTATTATAAAATCATTATAATATAAATTTTAAAACTATTTATAAAAACACAATTTTTAGAAAATAATAACTTTGCTTTCTTAAAATTACAAAGAAAGATGTACTTACTTAATTGATTTTTTTACCTGAAGAACTTAATCAATAAAGCAGAATATTCAGCATTAAAAGAATCGGGTTATAGTAACTTGGCGATTTTTTGGCGACCAACCCTGCAACAGCAACCTGCTAGGTTTTTTTTTTTTTTTTTTTTTTTTTTTTTTTTCAACAATCTGCTAGCCGAATTACGCTTATGCTAGAACTTTTATGGAACAAAAGTGCTTAATTATGACGAAGATTAGGTGCGAAATTGGGAGAAAGTGCAGAATCGCCCACTGCTTACCGCATTTTTAAGAATTGCACATACACGGTATCATCCATGTACACATCGACCTATTTTCACTTAAAAAAACATCCCAAAATTGCACAAAAATGGCATTGCGCACACTCTTGACTTTATCCATGTACACTGCTAAAGTCTTAGCTAGTAACCTTTATCGCCTTACCAAAATGTCGCCAAACTACCTGTTACCATATTCCAAAGATTAGCCAAAGAATCCAAATAAATAATACAGTACAAAGTCCGAAATCCGGACTCGTCAAGATTTGAGCGATTCCGGACTTGAGATTTTTCCTGGTATTAGATCATCAGTTTAAATGTAGTAAGATGGCATGTAGAAATTATAAAATTAAAAATATGAAATCGTGATTTCTAAAATAATGAAGTATTTATGATCTAAAAGGTATGAAAATTTACAAAAAAAAAAAAAAAAAAAAAAGCACAAGATACAATAACATTGCCAAACAAATGTAATTAAATTATTCAACAAATCGAAATTTCACCCATTTTTTCGCAAAAATCAAAACTTCCTTGATTAAAGCTTTATTTAAAGCATGTACTTGAAACCTTCCCCCTCAGGGGCTCACTTTTGTGAGTACGGGTGTGGCAATCCCGAGGTACCCAGGGAATCATCTTGGTAGAGACGGGTGTCACGATCCTGGACCCCCAGTGATCTATCCCCGTTTCCGTCTCCTCTCCTCTTGGCTGGAACCTTTTCCCTTCCCTTCTCCCTTGTAGTTTCTCTGTTCGTAGTTTGGGGCTCGTCACAAGAAACTGGAACAGACCTTGTTTCTAGTTTTCGAGTGGCGAGAAAACTGCCCACGTGTTTGCCGTGCGTGGAGACCCGTGTCGCTGGAAAGGAGGGTCCTGGTAGTTGAGGGGCGAGGTACTGTCCCCAACACACTGCTTTGGCCTCTGCTTCAGCTAAACGGGAGGCACCTTAGTCGTCCTCACGGGTGTCAATCGGCTGGTCACTAGTCCTTGTGTCAGTGGCTTGGGGTCAAGCTCTCGGGAGTACCTGCTTTCGGGAAAGCCGACTGTGGGGCTTCAGTTTGCGTATAGGTCCGGCTAGCCCTAACACAGGAATCTGTGTTCCCTTGTTGGGCTCCGTGGTGGGCGGGGCCGTCGGACCCGAATCTTTTTTTTTCATTTCATATGGCTTAACTCAAATTTTCTTAATAAAGATTTCTGAAGTCACTCCAGTCACTCAACCTAGTTCTGAAAAAGTCTAACTGCTAAACCAGTCACTCAACCTAGTTCTGAAAAGTCTACTGCAAAAAAATTACGGACAGATGCAAATAAAAAAAAATCATAACAATAGTCCCCGTTTCCTAGTCATCTCTAGTCCTTCTGGCGAAATGCATAAGATGTCTCCTTTCGTAATAAACAAATACATCCAGTCTTGTATTGGTGAGCCGAGAAATATAAAGCGTCTCCGCTCCGGAGACTTGCTTATTGATACAAACTCAGCCACCCAGTCTGCTTCTTTACTTCAGATAACTAAACTTGGGCAAGCGAATGTCACTGTAACACCACATAAGTCACTGAACTATTGTCGTGGTGTAATCTCAGAATTCGACCTTCTGTATGTTTCTGAAGAAGAGATCGCTTCTGAGCTATCCGAACAAAATGTCTGCGGTGTAAGGCGGATCAAGATGCGTAAAGAAGGTAAGTTGATAGACACGAAACACACGTGATCCTTACCTTCAACACGCCTGATCTGCCTAAGAATATTAAGGCCGGATATCTAAATATTCCTGTAAGACCTTATATTCCAAACCCTATGCGATGTTTCCAATGCCAGCGTTTCGGCCATTCTAAGACGTCTTGTCGTGGCAGCCTCACATGCGCCCGATGCTCACAGATTGGCCACGATTCTGAAAATTGTACCGCTGCGCCTCTTTGTATAAATTGCAAGGGTGAGCACCCAGCATTTTCACGCCTCTGCCCAAAATGGAAATTGGAAAAAGAAGTGCAGACTGCAAAGGTTACGAGGAACATCTCATATGCCGAAGCCAGAAGATTAGTAGTCCAAAGCACACAGCTTCGACCAAATACATCATACGCCAGTGCTGTTAAAAGATCTCGTACAGTTGCCACCCAAACATCAATAGGCACACAGACCCTACCAAATAAAACCCAACCGTCTACATCCAACAAGAAAAAGAAAATGCCCAACCCATATAGTACAAAATAAAGAAACAGTTATTCAAAGTAAACCCAAAACTACCACACAAAAAATCCAAATAAAAATAGAAGTCCAGCAATAGCTCTCTTGATGAGAATGATTTCTGAATCTGCGGATTCAGACGGTTTATGGAAGTAGAAGAGGGTCTGGAAGTTCCCAGGCATCTACTTCCACGAAAAAAACCAAACAAGAGCACAGAAAAAACAAAAACCATTCATAATGGCCACCCTCGTGTCATGGAACTGTCGCGGTTTCCACCGAAATTTGCTTGACATCAAATCTATAATAAATGTTATCATCCTGTGTGCTTCGCAATACAGGAAACAAATCTGAAACCAGAACAACATGCAAAACTTCGGAGGTTTTCTTTCTTTCGTCAGGAAGGATAACCTTGCAGGTGAGCGTGCCAGTGGAGGTGTAGGTCTCCTCTCCTCACTGGATTATCCCTCAAATGTACTTTCCTTTGACGACATCCCTCCAAGTTGTCGCTACTCAAATAAATTTTGATATTGTTGTTTCAGTTTGTTTCTTTGTATTTGCCTCCAAATGAGCACATTTATCAGCAAGATTTAAATAATCTAATAGAGCAGCTGCCTGACCCTTTCATCATAATAGGAGATTTTGACGGCGATATTCCACTCTAGGGTACTAAAGATACAAATTGCCGAGGAAGACAAATTGAGCAGATGATCGTGGATCATAGCCTTTGTCTCCTAAATAATGGGCAGGATACATACTTCTATGAGCCTTCAGGGACATTCCACGCTCTCGACCTTGCCATCTGTTCACCATCTCTGTTCCATTTTGCAGTTTTAGTGTCGGAAATGACCTGTACAACAGCGATCATTATCCCATTTTGTGTCTCTCTTGCACGAAGAGGAGGAGCAAACCCCATGTCGAGACTCCCTCGGTTTATACTGGACAGGGCAGACTGGGAACTCTTCTCTTCCATTGCAGAGCTCACAGATGGAAATGGTAGAAGATGTGCATATCGATGACGCTGTTGAAGCTGTTACTAATACTATTATTCAGGCAGCTATGCTTTCGATTCCTAGAACATCAGGAAAAACTACTAAAATATTCGAAACCATGGTGGAATCGCGACTGTCATGAAGCACTGAAAAAACAGAAAAAAGCATGGGGTATTTTTCGTAGATATCCTACTCTGCGAAACCTCATAGCCTTTAAAAGAGCCAAAGCAAATGCACGAAAAGTAAGAAGGCAGAGCCAGAGGGATTCCTGGATTTCATATGTGTCCTCAATAACATCCTCTACGCCTAGTAAGCGGGTTTGGGAAAGAGTTCGAAAAGCATGCGGTATATATAAAGACCACTCACTTTCCTTTTTGGAAAAAGATGGGCAAGTGATTAGCTCCATAGAAGAAATTGCAAATACTATTGGTGAGACATTTGCTGCCGTTTCTTCCAGCCGAAATTACTCACCTGCATTTCTTTCTATCAAGCAACGCTCTGAGAAAAATCCCATCGCTTTCAACTCTACCAAATCTGAGCCTTACAATAGAGCATTTACTATGCTGGAATTAAAGAGAGCTTTATTGCAGACACATAGGTCTTCGGTCTCGATGGCGTGAATTACGCTATGCTAAAGCATCTGTCCTATAAGTCACTGAGTGCCCTTCTCACACTTTACAATAGAGTGTGGAAGGAGCGTACATTTCCTATTGCATGGAGGAGAGCT